CTACTTGAAAGACCGAGGCCAGAGGATCGCCTGAGCCCAGCAGGTCAAGGCTGTAGTGACTGTGAGCGTGCCACTGTACTCCAGCCTGGGCAACAGAGCGAGATGCCAACTCAAAAAAAAAAGAGAAAGAAACAAAGAATCTCTTCTTCAATGAGAGATATAGAATACTGATGGATGTATTACTTCTATGAACAAAGTGCTCTAGATGGGAGGGCTGATGTAAGTGATCATTCTGCTGGAGACAGCAAGTGGCTCCTAAGCAGCCATCCTAGAGGCTTATCAGCTGTGTTGCTTGCTTGTTGAGGAATGCATCTGTCTTTTTTTTTTTGAGTTGGAGTCTCACTCTGTCGCCCAGACTGGAGTGCAGTGACCGCTCCTGGTCACTGTAGCCTTGACCCACTGGGCCCCGATGATCCTTCCACCTCAGCCTTCCAAGTAGCCGGAATTACAGGCACGCGCTACCATGCCTGGCTGATTTTTTGATTTATTGTAGAGATGAGATCTCACCAAATTGCCCAGGTGGGTCTTGAACCTGCGGGCTCAGACAATCCACTCACCTCAGCCTCCCATAGCGTGGGATTACAGGCTGAGCCACCAAGCCCGACTAGCATCTGTCTTTTGTGAGAACATCTTAGCTTAGACTTTTGCTGTTGAAGCCTTCTTACCGTTGGTGAGCCATTGTCACTTTTTTTCTGAAGGAACAGAGAACGCTAGAGTTCTGCAGTCACTGTCAAACCAAATGATTCTTCAGTTTGGTTCTATTACTTACTTCCTCCCTGGTCATAAATTCAGAAGATGCTGGACAGTGAAATTTTAAAGATTCTCTCAGCTAAACAGGGCTACGTTCTGTTGTTTAATATTTGTATAATATATGGTCAAGAATATTCTAGATAAATTGGTGATGGGTCAACCAAAGGTTAGGAAGAGGAGCTAGAGGTGTTGGTGGTATGTATTCTAAGCTTTGGGTTTTTTAGCTGCTATATTCTCTGGGGTACTTTGCCAAACTGCTCCTGTTTGATAGAACATATTTTTGACCCATATTGGCAGGGCTTATGCTCTTACTCAGTGTTTAAGGTGTCAGGAATTTTTAGTTTCTGTATAGAAAATGTGAAGGTATAATGATAAACTCAGATGAGATGAATATATTTATTTCCTTTCAGATTCATCAGGACATGAGACTCACCAAACATGTGCCTTTGCTCAAAAAGACCCTGGAGCTGTTAGTTTGTAGAGTCAAAGCTATGCTCACATTCAACAATTGTAGAGAGGCTTTCTGGTTGGGCAATCTCAAAAACCGGGACTTACAGGTAAGCCTTGGGTCCTGCTAGTGAAAATACACCATCCCCATTCTTGCGAGGGCATCAGAAGATACGGAAGGGAGGTCACCTAAGCCCTGCTTTCTCCATAAGACTACTTTTCTCTTAAGTCTATGTTTGTTTAGCTCTTAAAGTTAGGACACATTGCTTATGGGCCCTAGTAATAGACTGCACTCATTGTCTGTCCCAGGCAGCAAAGGCACCAAAACATGCCATTGATATAAAGAATGTGTCAGGCTGGGCACAGTGGCTCAAGCCTATAATCTCAGCACTTTGGGAGGCCGAAGTGAGAGGATTACCTGAGCCCACAGGTTTGAGTCTAGCCTGGGCAACTTGGTGAGGCCTCATCTCTACAATAAAAAAACTAGCCAAATGTGGTGGCACATGCCTGTGGTTCCAACTACTTGAAAGGCTGAGGCAGAAGGGTCACCTGAGCCCAGCAGGTCAAGGCTATGGTGGCCATGAGCATGCCACTGCACTCCAGCCTGAGTGACAGAGTGAGACTCCGACTCAAAACAAAACAAAAAAACAAGCCGGGCTCTGTGGCTCAGCCTGTAATCCCGTGCCTTTGGGAGGTTGAGGTGAGTGGATTGACTGAGCCCGCGGGTTCGAGACCCGCCTGGGCAGTGAGACCTCATCTCTACAATAAATCAAAAAATCAGCCAGGCGTGGTAGTGCACGCCTGTAGTTCCGGCTACTTGGAAGGCTGAGGCGGAAGGATCGCCGGAGCCCAGCAGGTCGAGGCTGCCGTGGCTGGGAGCAGCCACTGCACTCCAGTCTGGGCGACAGAGTGAGACTCCAACTCAAAAAAAAAAACAAAAACAAAACCTGTATCAAATGCTAGGCACAGTGGCTCAAGCCTGTAATCCTAGCATTTTGGGAGGCTGATGCGAGAGGATAGCCTGAGTCCAGGGGTTTGAGACCAACCTGGGAAACTTGGCGAGACCTTGTCTCTACAATAAATCAAAAAATTAGCCAGGTGTGGTGGCACATGCCCATAGTTCCAGCTACTTGGAAGGCTGAGGCGGAAGGATCGCCTGAGACTAGCAGGTCGAAGCTGTGGTGGTCGTGAGTGTGCCACTGCACTCTAGCCTGGACTGACAGTGAGACTCCGACTCAAAAAAAAAGGCCGGACACGGTGGCTCATGCCTATAATCCCAGCACTTTGGAAGGCCAAGGTGAAAGGATTTCCTGAGTTGACGGTTCGAGACCAGCCTGGGCAACTTGGTGAGACCTCATCTCTACATTAGATCAAAATATTAGCCAAGTGTGTTGGCATGTGCCTGTAGTTCCAGCTACATGGAAGGCTGAAGTGGAAGGATTGCCTGAGCCTACCAGGTTGAGCCTATGGTGGCCGTGAGCATGCCACTGCACTCTAGCCTAGGCGACAGAGTGAGGCTTTGACTCAAAAAAAATAAGAATGCATCAGAGATAAAGGAGTCAAATGAGTACAGACCTCTCCATGGCCAATGGGGCACCTTTAAGTAATACATTCAGAATAACAATTTTGTATTTGGAAAAACATTTTTGTTGGGTTATTTTGCTCTTTTTTCCTAAGTCAGTCTATTAACAAATTAACTTTTTTTTTTTTTTTTTGTCGAGTTGGAGTCTCACTCTGTCGCCCAGGCTGGAGTACAGTGGCATGCTTATGGCCACTGCAGCCTTGACCTATTCGGCTCAGGTGATCCTTCTGCCTCAGTCTTCCAAGTAGCTGGAACCACAGGTGTGCACCACTACGCCTGGCTAATTTTTTGATTAATTGTGAGATGAGGTCTCTACAATTAATCTACAACTTTAGAGAGGCTGGTCAAGAGCCCCTGGACGCAGACAGTCCTCTCGCCTCCACCTCCCAAAGTGCTGGGATTACAGGTGTGAGCCACTGCACCCAGCCAACAAATGAACATTTTAAAGGTTTTTCAGTTATCTGATTAGATGAAATATTGTGTTGGTTATAATACTGCTTTGGAGTTACAGCATTTTTCTTTCTTTCTTTTTTTTTGGGGGGGTCTCACACTGTTGCCCAGGCTAGAGTGCAGTGGCCCTATCATAGCTTACTGAACCCTCAGACTCCTGGGCTCAAGCAATCCTTCCACCTCAGCCTCACTAGTAGAAGGGAATGCTGGCACACACCACCATACCTGACTAATTCTTTTACTATTTTTTTGTGGAAACAAGTCTCACTATGTTGTCCAGGCTGATTACGAACTCCCAGGCTCAAGCAGTTCTGCTGCCTTAGCCTCCCAAAGTGCTGGGATTATAAGTGTGAGCCATGCCTAGCCATGTAATAGCATTTTTCAAATATGTTATAAGCCCTTCTCTTTCATGCTTATATTATCTCAATTTTGGAGGGGCTTTTTGAGTTGGAATCTCACTGTCACCCAGTCTGGAGTGCATTGACACGATCACAGCTCATCACAGTCTCAACTTCCTAGGTTCAGGTGATTCTTTTGTCTCAGCCTCCCAAGTAGCTGGGAATACAGGCACATGCCACCATGCCCAGCTAATTTTTTAATTTTTTTTTATAGATGGCATCTTGCTATGTTGCCCAGGCTGATCTCAAACTCATGGGCTCAAGCAGTCCTCCCACCTTGACCTCCCAAAGTGCTGGGATTACGGTGTGAGGCACTGCACCCAGCCCTGTATCTGAATTGTATAATCAGTTATCTATGAAAAGAATAGCATCAGATGCATTAGCTTCCTTTCTTCCCATCAAGTTTATGATAGGTTGTTTCTGTGCGAAAATTGAATCTCAGAATAGTTAAGTAATTTATATAAGGTAATTCAGCAATGAATAGAGGTATGGCTTGAGTCCAGACAGTCCTAATCCAAAGTTCATGTTCTGTCCTTCAGCCTCTACATGGCTAGTCATGGTTGTATATTGGTGACTACATATCTTAAGGTCTGTGGGAAATTTTAGAACCATGTTTAGCTTTAACTCTAAGAGTCACTAATACAATCTGGCCTTGTAAAATCTAGTATGATACTAGAATACAAAGAACTACTTATTGTATCAGAGCCACAGGCATCTCAGAAACCTGGGGTTGAGTATTCCTTCTCTAGATGCTGGATCACAAGTTGGTGTCTATGTTTGACTGTGTTTGAATGACTAGTATATTTTCCTTTGTATTGCCCGTAAAGTCAACCTTTCCCCAAGACCCCAAATGTGGTCATTTTAACCCACAATTTTTCTTGATTCATCCACATTTAGGGTGAAGAGATTGTGTCCCAGAATTCTCAGCCGAGCACAGCCGATGAAAGTGAGGATGACATGTCATCCCAGGTCTCCAAGAGCAAAGCAATGGAGGTATCTCTGCAAAAGGCACCAGAGTCTAACATTGATGGTTCCATTCTGTTGACTGTTCTCAGTTGGTAGACAAGGCAGAACTTGACCTGCTTATGTGTATTTATTTATTTATTTTTTTAAGTAGGAGTCTCACTCTGTCACCCAGGCTGGAAGGCAGTGGCACGCTCACTGCCAACACAGCCTTGACTGCGGGTTCAAGACCCACCTGGGCAACTTGGTGAGACCTCATCTCTACAATAAATCAAAAAATTAGCCAGGTGTGGTAGTGCGTGCCTATAGTCCCAGCTACTTGGAAGGCTGAAGCGGAAGGATCGCCGGAGCCCAGCAGGTCGAGGCTGCGGTGGCCAGGAGCGGGCACTGCACTCCAGTCTGGATGACAGAGTGAGACTCCAACTCAAAAAAAGAAACAACATTTCCTTTCAGCATAGCCTTCTATTTTCCATGAACTCAGATTTGAAACCATTTTAGAAGGGAGAAAAGAAGTCGTCAGCATATTCTCTGAGGGTTGAAAAGAATGATTTAAACCATTTGAACATGTTCGAACTTACAAAAATAGAAATGTGAAAGCCAAAGCGCAGAGTCAGAAACTGCCACCATAGAGAACTGAAATAAAAATAAAGGTCCTTATTCTTTTCTGTGGGTACAGATGCTTCTGAGAATTTAAAGAAAACTAAATAAAAATGTATACGCTACAATATGAACATCAAGCAGCTCAGATTTAACAACTCCTGCTAGGCCAGGCACAGTGGCTCAAGCCTATAATCCCAACACTTTGGGAGGCCAAGGCAAAAGGATTGTCAGGGGTTTGAGACCAGCCTAGGCAAATTGGCAAGACCTCATCTCTACAATAAATCAAAAAACTTAGCTGGGCGTGGTGGTGCATGCCTGTGGTTCCAGCTATCTAGAAGGCTGAGGCAGAAGGATAGCCGGAGCCCAGCAGGTTGAGGCTGTGGTGGTCATGAGTGTGCCACTGCACTCTAACCTGGACTACAGAGTGACACTCGGATTCCAAAAAAAGAAAACCCTGCTGTGGGACCTCATTATAATGCAATTAATGTCAATGCAGAAAGATTGTTTAGTATGAAAAGTCCTCTTACTTATACGGTTCTCTGTTTTATCTGTATAAAATATCTTCTCTACCTTGTTCTCATAGAGAATTTGAGACAGACAATATACTATTGGTTTGCTATTCTTAGCATTCTTCCATATTAGACATGCAAACCAGACAAAATTGTGCCAGATTCCTGTTGAGGTACACGTGTACTGTTGTTAAATATTGAATGTTCGTTTTATTTTTGTCCCAACATGTAGTAAAGCTGGAGGGCCGTGGCTTTTACAAATAATGCACATATAATTCAGTTGCAGAATGGCATGAGTCAGTATCAGAATGACTGACCTCCTTCCATGTTCTTGTCTTAGAATTTGTAATGTCAAGAAGAATGAGGGGCCGGGCTCGGTGGCTCAGCCTGTAATCCCAGCACTTTGGGAGGCCGAGGTGAGTGGATTGCCTGAGCCCGC